GATTGTAAGAGTCAGTAGGGATAGAGGACGCCAAGGAAAGCTGGTTTGTTTGTTTTATTTTACATTTATCATCATCACCATCATTACTCCTATATGCCTGTTTGTATTCTAATGAACTAGAGAAAGGAAGAGCGTGGATTAGGGTGGTGGGGAAACGAGGAGGATTGGGGAAGAAGAAACTATAATGAGAATATACCGTAAGGTAAAAACTATTTTGAATAAAGAAAATTATTTCTTGAGTGAACGGTATATTGGTTAGCAAGTGTTTGGTTTTGTTTTTTGTTTTTTCCTGCGAGCACAGAATGAAGAACCTGGAACAGGGCAACCCACTCGCGACTGTCCTGCAGGTGGCAGACTAACACAGAAGGGATTTCAACCTCTGAGACAGACTCTGCCACTTTTTACTTTTTACTACTCCTGGGAAAATCAGTTAACTTGTCTGTGGCTCTGTGAAATAAGGGCATCAACAATGCCTGCTCCATAGGCTTGTGAGAGCCAAGTATTGCATGTAAATAGAGCAACGTGCCAGAAGCTACATGACTTTTGAGATTCTTTGTTGGCAGTCTTGTATATGTATACAACTTATTTGATTAAATACATACACTGTCATTAGCCTCCCTTATCTCACTCCCAGTGACCCCTCTTTTCTTCCCAACAAGTCCCCCTCCCACTTCCATTTCTGTGTGTACATCTGTGTGTGCATCTGTGTGTATGAATGTATGAGTGAATATTTGTGTCTGTATGTTTGCATGTGTAAGTGTATGTGTATGTGTGTGTGTATGTGAATATCTGTGTGTATGTATGTAAATGAGTGGATGTTCGTGTTTGTGTCTGGATGTTTGTATATGTGTGTCTGTGTGTGTGTATGTATATATATATCTATATATATACATATATCTTTGTGTGTGTGTGTGTGTGTGTACCCCATTGATTTTGATTTTGTGAGTATATGTGGGGTTATTTACTGGAACATGGACAACTAAACCAGTGACCACACCACTTGAAGAAAATGGCTCTGCCTCCTCTAGGTAGTCATTAATTACATAGGTTTTCCTGGAGACTTCCAAGCCCCTCCCACATTATAATTTTTTTTAATGATTCAGAGAGAAGCACACTGGGTTAGCAAAGGACTGTAGAGATTAAATGTTAAGTAAAATTGGTAAAGGTTTGTAATAGAAAGCATGTACTTCATATTTTGTGTTTCTTTAGTAGAAGCAAGGGAGAAGAAAGGTTAAAAAATTACTTTAATGATAATAACAATGCTTGCTACTGTTGCCAGGGTCAATTTACAGAGCTATTATCTGCACATTTCTTGGGGTCCACAAAAATACTAATGCTCAGAAAGAAGTACCTTAAATTTTGTAACCAAAATCTAGGATTGTTTATGCCATCCTTAATTCTCTCTTCTTTTAGATGGGGGTACACTGTATTAGGAAGCTAGATTAGCTATGGCATCATTGGAGCACCCAATTAAAAAATCTCTCTCTCTCTCTCTCTCTCTCTCTCTCTCTCTCTCTCTCTCTCTCGTGTGTGTGTGTGTGTGTGTGTGTGTGTGAGAGAGAGAGAGAGAGAGAGAGAGAGAGAGAGAGAGAGAGAGAGAGAGAGAGAGAGAGAGAGAGCAGTGTCAGCCAAAGGATAACTTGTGGGAGTCAGTTCTACGTGGGGACCGTGTTCTAGAATCTGGTTAGAGGGTGAAAGATCATCGGATTTGCTTGCATTTGAGCTTGCCCTTTTGCACAGAACAGTCTTCAGCGACAGCATTGTCTACCTGCACTTAAGGGCCCCGTCACCAGAATTATGAAGAAGGGGTCAAAGACCTTGGGTTGAAAGAAGGTTATTTCATTCAATAAGAAGTTGAGTGTTCACCATTATGGAACTTCCGAGACCCAGTACTGATTTTTCCCCCTTGGTTACACAGCTTTTAATTATCTTTGTGTTGTTCTTGGCAAATCATACTTTGCTGGCTCATTTCCAAAGACCATGAACTGAAACTTTGGATACAAGTTAAGCTAATAATTTCAAAATCTCAGGAAAGAAGAATAGCTTTTTATTTGGCATTTTGGCAGCAAAAGAAATGAAAGCTTATTTTTGGTCAATCTTTGGGTTATGCAAACATAACCAGGTTCTGTCAGTTTTGAGGAACTTGCTTTTTTTTTTTTGTCAATACAAAATTGACTTCTTTTGTTTAGAAAGATCCTTCACTGGATACAGGGCAGGATGAGACAAAGTGGAACCAAACCCACTTTGTATCATAAAATAGAAAGCGATGTTATTTTTACTTGTATTCAGGTCATTTGGTCAGCTATCCTGTTTGCTGGTGTGCCTTTGGGTCAGACAAAAGTTGCTGTCAAGTCTGGAACAGTCCATTCCTGTCAGCAGATTTCAGGGAATAAGTGTGTGACTCATTTTAATGACTTCCTCCCACTGTTCATAATCTTGGTTAGTGATGAGTATTGGTATCCATAAGGGAGAGACTAAAAAGTGAAGGCCATAGAGCAACTGCCATTAAACAACACTATCCCTCATCTGCTCTTTGGCCTCCTCTGTGAGCATGTATATGAGGTTTGAGAATATTCACTTAAGAATGCAATCCCTCAGGTTGGAGAGAACACCGGCTGTTCTTCAAGAGTCCCGAGTTCAATTTGCAGCAACCACATGGTGGCTCACAACCATCATGTAATGAGATCTGGTGCCCTCTTCTGGCCTGCAGGCATACATACAGACAGAACATTGTACATAATAAATAAATCTTAAAGAGAAAAAAGAAGATTACAAGCCCCAGCTGGGTGGTAGCGGTGCACGCCTTTAATCCCAGCACTCTGGAAGCAGAGGCAGGTGAATATCTCTGAATTTGAGGCCACCCTGGTCTACAGAGTGAGTTCCAGGACAGCCAGGACTGTTATACAGAGAAACCACGTCTCAGAAAAATGAAAAGGAAGGAAGAAAGAATGAGTGAAAGAAAATCATTTTCACGGTGACAGGATCTTAAGTTTTTAGTCTTCATTGGCAGAGAATGGCTTGGGGATAGAGGAACTGATCTGCTTAGGTTAGGGCTTAAGAAGAAATTGTTTCATCGGGAACTCCCTCAGTAGGGTACGGTCAGTAACCTATAGGAGCAGGAGTGGCTGTTTTTGTGCTACAGCTGCTACTCGTTTTAGTTCCTTTCCTATTGCTGTGAAGAGGCACCATGAGCAAGGCAACTTATAAATGAAAGCATTTAATTGAGGGCTTGCCTCCAGTTGCTGAGGGTGGGGCTGTGAGGACCACAACGGGGCATGGCTCCGCAGCAACAGCTGAGAACACATTTGTGGAGAACAGGCGCAGGACAGAGATCCAGTGAGCTAAGTGGGAATGGCGAGGGGTTCTTAAACCTCAAAGCCCACCTCCAGTGACACACCTCCGCCAACAAGGCCACACCTCTTAGTCCTTCCTGGACAGTTCCACCAACTGCAGAAAGAGGCAAACATGTCAGCCTATATGGGCCATTCTCATTCAAACCACCATACCATCAGTTCCTAACTTTTGGTAAAGTTTGTTATATCCACCAACCTGGAGACAGAAAGGTGATGACTTACATTAAGTGAGAAAACACATAGCAAGTCTTTGTACTGGTGGTCACAGCTGAGTATAGTCCCTACATAATTGTGTGTAAATATTATGGTTTGTTTGTTTGGTTTTGAGTCAGGGTCTCACTGAGTAGCTCTGGCTGTGGGGATCTATGAAGATCCACCTGCCTCTGCTTCCTAAGTGCTGGAATTATGGGTTAAAATATTAATATTATTTTTTAAGGATTAAAAATGTGTTATTTGGGTATGCCTGTCTGTGTGTGGGTATGTATAAGTGTGAATGCAGGGACCCACAGAAGCCAGAGTATTGGTTCCCCTGGAGTAGCAGTTACAGGATGCTTTTGTTGCGTGTCCTTTGGAAGAGCTGTAAGCACTCTTAACTGTTAAACCATCTTTCTAGCCCTGAACTCTATGTTTGGAGAAGAAAGCCACCCCAGCCTGGAGTAGAAGACAGCTGGAAGTGACCATGTAGCGGACAGGCGCCTAGAACAGATGACAAATGGCACTGAAGACATTTTAACTTTCATCATTCTCTCATCCTCAATTCCCCTACTCAGATCCTGTAGAACAAGAGGCTGGCGTGTTGGCCTCAGTTACTTTTCTACTGGGGAGAACCTAAAAGGAGAAATCTGTAACAATGTGGAACCTACAGCTATGTCTCCAAATTTATTAAAGGGATGGGAGAACAGTGGAAAGGAGAGAATTTTCCGGAGTCCCCAACTTAAGGAAATGCTATGTTCTCACTTAGCTATTCTCTCTTTTATACCACTCCCTAGCCTCAGCTTTGTTTGGGATTCTATGTTCAGTTCAGGACAGACATCTCCTGACAGCAGGGACCTCCGAACTAAGTTGTCCCACACTACATGCTTGTGTTTTGTAATAAAATGAGCTTCCTTGGCCGATGTGAACTAAACAAAACACAATGCTGTTTATTTGTGCTTTGTTTACTTCAAAATCAACCAACCAAACCGTGACATCATTGTCTTTGCTTTTAATTTTTCCCATGGTCTAAAACATTCAATGTGTTTGACAAATGAGTCTTTTTTTTTTAAACAAGCAGTAGACATCTCCCAAAGCTATCTTTTCTGGGAAAACTTCCTAAATATTCTAGTCTACACTGATTTTTTTTCTAACTGGGTTTATGTTGCTATCAGTAATTAGTATGTTCCATTTGTTTTCTCATAGCATTCGGCCTTAAAATGCAATGTGATTAATATACTTAGAACTGACTTAAATTGTATAAATGATAAATTTATCTAAAATAATTTAAGCAAATTGCTTGTTAGCTTATGACAAAGAACCACATCTTCTGGGTAATGAACCTCATTCATTAGCAAGCGTGTACTCTTGTTCTTTTTATTAAAGACACGCCACCATACTGGTCAAACATGTACTCTTCATGGTACCTATATTCATCAAACACCACAGTGACACTTTGCTTACAGTTTTTATTAATACTTCCTTTTCATAGCTCAAAAAAGATATTACACGTTATTCAGCAAAACATTAAAAAACGAAACATCGCCTCCACAGAAATAGCCAGTGTGTAGACTTTATTACATAGGCACATTGTTTTTAAAGTTAACCAGTTTTGCACAGAATTAGCCACAATAGTGCAAGAAGTTACACTGAGTGAGGATAGATGACAAATGAAGGCAAATACAAGCCTTGGATCCAAGTCATTCACTGGGCCTTGAGTTCAAGCCCCGACACACTGAAATTCATATGGACATCACAAGGATGGGGTGGGGAGGGATGATCCTCTCTTTTCTCTTCTCAAGCCTCCATCCTGATTAGCCTCTGAACATGGCAAAGGGCTCTCCAGCTTCTGTTGGCAAGTGAGCATAAAAGATAAACGGAGGCTGGCTGAAGGGGCAAGGGACTCACGCCGCTCTTCTCGCATGCCATTCTTGAACACCCTTAGATCCAATAGAGAGGGCTAAGTGTACGTCTGATCCACAGAACTGCTGCTGTGGACTCTCACTGGGATGGCCTGTCCGACAGATAGCACGAGCAGGTGGTGAGCAATGGTGGCACTTAAGACTCCAGTCCCAGTGTGGCCAGTGTCCACAGTGAGAACTGGCGTTTCATCTGAGGCAGAACATGGGAGTGAAGGAGGAGGGGGATGCTGGGATTCTATCCGACCAGCTAGAACCGACCCATTATGTCTGACCAAGTATAACCAGAGGAGGAACTAATGTCATACTCAAATACACCCCACAGAGAAGCCATTTTATAACGATCCATATTTTAAAAAATTTAAGTACATTTTAATGCGTGGTTTTCTTTCATTTGACTTTGTTATAATTACAGTTTCTGTTTTCCCCTCTCTTCTATAGTCATCCACATGAAAGGCTGTATCTGTAAACCATAGATCATTTTAACATCTTACATCCCCACATCTTCAGTAACCTGGGGGGGAGTGCTAGACCTACTTATGTCTTACCTGGTATTCATATCCCCATATCCACTTGGGAGACTGCCCTTTTGACCTTCATATTTAACTGGTATTTGAAGCCAACTGCAGAACAGCGAATTGGGGGGGGGCTTTCCTGCATTTCTGTCATCTAAGCAGATGGGCCTGGGAAGGAGTTCAAGCAGGAAAAATAGCTGGTCTCTCCAACTTAGATATTTTAAACTTCTTGGTTCTGAAGCATATATATATATAAATATATATATATAAAATCACACGGACACTGAATATCAACAAAATGTGAAGGAAAGGATATTTTGCACCCATAAAACCATGGCTGGGGGGAACCAAAAAAAAAAAACAACAACAAAAAAACAAAACCCAACAACAACAAATGAAAGTCCAGCCCTCTCTTTTGTCTCTGGAAACTGAAGTTAGGTTGGGAAAAATAACAGATAAGTAAGCAATAGTGATTGTCTCCACACTTCTGAACAACCACAAGAAGCCCAACTTTTCCCTCCATAAAGCCATCACAGTGTGGCTGTCAACAACAATCTTCAGAATACTACTGGGTGGCCTCTCCTCCACTCAGGGAAGCTGGCTGCAAATATGGTACCTTTTTGTGTGTGTGTGTGGTTTTTTGAGACAGGGTTCCTCTGTGACTTTGAAGGCTGTTCTGGAACTAGCTCTTGTAGACCAGGCTGGTCTCAAACTCACAGAGATCCGCTTGCCTCTGCCTCCTGAGTGCTGGGATTAAAGGCGTGCGCCACCACCGCCTGGCTCGCAAACATGGTACCTTAACCAGAGCACTTGACATAATCCGAGCAGAGCTGAAGAGCTCTGCTGTCTAGTCCCGCTGAAGAGCTCTGCTGTCTAGTCCCGCTATGCCCCCTTCTTTCCTATAGCTTCTTACTCTAAGAGATGACCTCCAGTTCTGGTTGAGTCTTGGTGCCCCATGCTGTATATGCTCCAACTCTTTTCATACTGAAATTATTTTCTTTAGTCTGTTCTTTAGTAGCTTTTCATTATATCCAGTTTTTATTTGCATTGTTCCAGGTTCTGCAGAATGCAGTACTTTTGAAACTTTCTGTCTTCTTGGGCTTGGAACTGCAATTCTTAGAGTATAGGACTGGACTTTCATTAGCATATTGTTTAAGGCATACTAGACGAAAATATAAAACTTCCATGTTCTTGCTTAGGTGGCCATGGGAACATTACTAATACATGCATTTGTTCCTACACTTGAGATTGTCTTCTCTATTTCTGGCATTATACTTCCTTTAATACACAACTGTGAATGATAATATCCAAAGCCAATCTCCTTTGCAAAGAGCATAATTAAATGTAGTGATGTGTAGGGACTTGGTAAATTGACATTGGTTATGTTTAGAAACATCCATTAGAGCCAAAGTGAGAATATACTGATTAATTTTACATAAAATGCTGTCATAGTTTGGTAGTGAAGTATTAACACAAAATGGCATATTTTTATTTAACTTGTTGTTAGTTCTGTTTGAATTCTCTATCAAATTCTATTTTAATCACAGTCTCAACTTTAGACATGCTAGGATTAATTTAAATCATACATTTAGAAGAGTTAAATTTGTGATGGTGGAACAGGCCTTTAATTCCAGCAGTTGGGAGGCAGAGGCAGGCAGAATTCTGTGAATTGGAGGCCAGCCTAGTCTACAGAGTTCCAGGAAAGCCAGAGTTACCCATAGAAACACTGCCTTGAAATACGGGGGGGGGGGGGGGATGTTAAATTTACCACTTTTTACCAGGAGAATTTATAAAAGTAGGGTGAGCGGCCACACTCCCTGCTTATAACAATTAATTCCTAGGGCTTTTAAGGAAAAAGACAAAAAAAAAAAAAAAAAAAAAAAGGAAGCTCCATCTTGATGATAAAATAGAAATGACTGATAAAATAAGTTGATGATAAAATAAAAATCATGATTTCATCTGGCGAGCCGCAGCCTTCCTGTCTCAGACCCCCATCTCATGCAGGGGCATGACGCGCACAGCAGCACTGGTTAGTGGTGACAGTTGGGAGGACAAAGACCTGACCCCGCAGGACACTCCATCAGCCGCGTGCGTCTTCCACTCTCACGGGCAAGGCAGAAGCCCACAGGTCTGTTTGAGTGGCAGCAATCAGACCGGATCAATAGCCCAACCGTGGATAGCACCTGCGCCCCTCCACCTCTGAGGATAGAAAGGGTCCTCAACATGAATAGGGGACACTGGGGATCAGATTCGGCCACACGTTAAGTGCCTCTGTCCTGACACTTCGTTGACACAAGCAGCAGGAACAAAAGCAAAGCAAAATTATTTAAGTCCTCTGGAAAATAAATGCTGGCTAAGTCGCCTCGGAGTCAAAGTGCTGATGATTTCCATTCACTTAGTGAGTCCATTTAGAAGTAAGGAATTAAGGTGGCTGGGCCCTATTGTAGCTCACACTTTGCGACAGGCATTTGAAACACAAGGACAGGCTCTTTGTCTTCGTGTGCCACGTTTCTCAGGAATCGAGTTTCTAGGGACACACATTCCTGATCCCACCCATGTTTCTAAAGAGAAACTAGTCTCATTTCATATAAGAACTCTCTTAAATGAAGGAATATTCTTGAGGATAAGTCCAGATATTAAATGTAGGAAGGTAGTGAGCAGATGAGGAAGCAATAGAAAACAAAACAAAGCAACAACAACAACAACAGCAAAAGCAATCTGGAAAGTCTAACAAGAGCAAAGGACTAGCTTTTGATTCGGAATAACTAACTAGCACTCTGTCTAGAAGGGGTGTCGGTGATCGCTCCTCAAACTCCCTCCCGCTCTCTGTCTTTGATTTTTATGCAGTACTGGGACCTTGTGCATGCTGGGAAAGGTCTCTATCACTGAGCGTCATTGCCAGTCCTCTTGTCTGATACAGTAGAACGAGTTTTTCCTAAATCCTGTTTCATTGTGAAGTTGAAAAAACAGGTCCTGAACTCAAAAATAAATAGCTTTTGATACCATGTGACACCAAGCATGTTCTAACTGTACTGGTAAAATCCAACCCCTTTTTATAGTTTTACATTATTGATAACACAGACTAGGATTTTTTTCTTTTTGCTAACCACAGGAAAAATAAAAACTGAGGTCCAACATGGCAAGTGCACACACATTCTACATATCAAAAGGGTGATTTGCTCAACTATAGTTTTTATGTGGGTTTTTAAAAAGTTTATTTATTTATTTATTATGTATACGGTGTTCTGTCTGCACGTTTGCCTGCAGGCCAGAAGAGGGCACCAGATCTCATTACAGAAGGTTGTGAGCCACCATGTGGTTGCTGGGAATTGAACTCAAGACTTCTGGAAGAGCAGTCAGTGCTCTTTGATTCTGAGCCATCTCTCCAGCCCCTTTGTGTAGGTTATCAGTAAGCCCTAAAATATATTTCATTATACGTCTCAGCTCCTTACATGTTATCCATAATGACCCTAAGCACGGTAGAGGCAAAACAGATTTGATGGAACCAAGGTAGTAGATTTTTTAAAATTAGTGATAATTTGTTTGCTAAAAATAATAAATAGCACAGGGGAGATTTTTCTCCACAAGTTTTGATTAATGGCAAAATAACAACAAAACTCCAAATAGTCCAGAAGAAGCACCAAGGTGAGGAGAATTAGCCAAGGGGGTGGAAGAGAAGACAGGCACTGTGTACACTTTGCTACCAGTGAGGCAGGGCCCCTGCCAGTTCTGAGCTAGGGATGACCTTTATTCATCTTGCCAACTCTCCAAGCCCTTGGATTTCTGGGAACTCTCAAGGCCTTTAGCCTAGCAGCAGAAATGACATGGAATTCTTCGACAATGTTCTTTTCAAGGATCCCACTCTCCTCCAACAGCATGGAAACACAGAGGGAAGACTATCTGGAACTAGAGAGAATCATTCCTACGGAGTCTATTTGGAAAAGATCTTTCCTGCCACCTTGCCCAAATCCAACATGACGTCCCTTCCATAGCACCTGGGATAGGTGCCTTCGTTAACCTCTGGGGTTTGCTACAGCAGGAAATTTTATTCGACCTTTTTCTTCTTCAGAACACATCTTACTAGAAGATTCTTACATTGAGCAAACATCTGTCATCTGTAAAGTTCTCTTCTGTTTCTATTTTTTTTTGCCTTTGAAGTTATGCAAAACAAGTTTAACTCCTCTTCCTTTTTATAGCTTAGCAGAAACTTTGGGACAGATTTTACATCATTCCCCAGCTTCTCAGAACTCCATTCCCAGCTATACCACTCCAACCCCATTCCTTACATAATCATGATTGAGCTTCACAACCTTGGTCACCTGCCTGTGGACACATTCGCCATATTAATGTCTCCCTTAAAATATAGTAGCTATAATTGAATGTAACCCTCCATTCAGGCGTGTGCTGGCCAATGCACCATGCAGAGCTGTTTAAACACCTACCGCCACAGATGGAATGCATTAGCTTTGTGAATAACCATGATATATTCCTGATTCAAAAATGAACTCCCATTTCCTCAAGAAAACATTTCTATATGCACTGCTATAAAACCAGTCCCCCTGAATTCTAGACACACACACACACACACACACACACACACACACACACACACACACACAAGCTCTGTACTATAAGGGTTGCATTTTAAAAACTCAAAATACAGGTTTTCTCCTCTACGCCTATACAGCTTGTCCTTTCTGTTTTAATCTAATGTTTAGTTACAAACATAGTTCAAGCTGGAAAGTGGTGATTCGCGCCTTTAATTCCCCTCACTCCTGAGGCAGAGGCAGGCAAATCTCTGAGTTCGAGGCCAGTCTTATCTACAGAGAGAGTTCCAGGACAGCCAATGCTACACAGAGAAACTGTCTTGAAAACAAACAACAAAAAAAAGTAGCTCAAAACACTGCAATGATTTCTAATGCCTGATGGCAGAACATAGCTCGATCTCACTAAATATGAGCTGAATATATAAATCTTGAATCAGTCAGTCCCAAACTGCAGGCATTTTATATTTTCATATATTCCCAAGTATGATAAAATAAGCATTCTGTCCCCTAGCTTTATTCTTCATGAGAGAAAACACCAAGTTACAAATGTACAGGGAGTGTGGGGGAAACAGTGGGGGGGCTAGGAATACCTGAGGGAAAAGGCGGCCGTTCTGATTCTTGGAATCAGGATTTCATGTCCATGATACTGGTAAACTGGCTTTTCCCCAGGTCTACCCTTTTTGAACTTTCACAACACTGAGACTACCAGTCTCTGGATTTGGGGCAAAGCTCATTCCAATTAAGCTTGTACAACAATCTCAGTTTCCTTTAAATTTCGAGTTAAAGGGACATGTAACAGTCATTGCCTATGAGGTATAAAAAGAAATGCCAACTCAGCCAGTCTCTCTCTCTCTCTCTCTCTCTCTCTCTCTCTCTCTCTCTCTCTCTCTCTCTCTCTCTCTCTCTCTCTCTCTCTCTCTCTCTCCCCCTCACAGCCATGCCAATATTTCAGGAATTAGAAGTGATCGGTGAGAATTTGGCAACTCGTTATGATTGAAGCTGCCCTCTGAACTAAATATAAACTTACACTTAACGTCCCTTTTCCTTCAAGTGAAGAAAAATAAGTTCAGCTTTCCTTTCTCTTGGGTTGGATTGTGAATCCAATCCAGTCCATTTGTAGAATTAAGCTCCAGTCCCTGAATTTGAAAAGAAAATCTGATTGGCTTCTGCCACTGGGCATCATGACTTAGGATAGCAAATGGAAAAGTAGAGGTTGAGAAAGTATTTTGATTTTGAACAATCCAGAACTAGACGGGAAACATCTGGAAAACCTCTGTAGAGTAAAACCAGCATTTAAAGAATGGTGATTTCTAGAAAAGGCCTAGTAGACCCAAAGAGGAAATGGTTTTGAAACTCCTCTGACTCTTTCACAGAGGGACCACTGGTGATGGATTCTTGAATAACTTTCCAGGCTGCTGTTTCCAGAAACTGACGAGTAACAGATGGATACTGGGAGCAAATTGTGCCAATGCTGATGTTGGCCATTCTTTTCCGGTCTCTAACAGTCACCACAAACCACACACCAGTGCCATGATAGAAGCAGAAAAGGGACAAGAAGGCTCAATATACAATAAACTCCAAAAGCTGGGTGCACCACGTGTTCAGGCATGCTCAGCATCAAGGAGTCGATTGAAAGCAGCCCCTCAGGATTTCCTGTCACTCACAGGTAACTAACCGCACACAGGAAACTGTGGTCGACTGCCCCACAGCAGGTGTTGACTTAAGCTTGGGTTATTCAGGAAGACACCCGATCGTGACTCAGCGTTCCTCAGGTCCTTATGCAGTAGCTACTGTCACTGTACCCCACACTCCTTTGGGTTGTCCAAATCCTCTCCCTCAACGTCTGGCTTCAAACTCTTTTTTTGTTCAATTTCCACCTGCCAAAATAAAAGATGGAGAACACATCGGGAGTAAGAGGAAAGGAGAGAGGAGAAACACAAAAACAAATGAGCCAAAAGAGCCTCAGAAGGCTCCTGGGATTGCCTGGAATTCTGTGGCTGTTTCTGAGCTGCTGCCGTAATGGAACCACTAGTCCTGAGTATACCATGATCCCTTTAAGGTGTGGAAATCCTTCTTTCTGGTCCCGGGAAACTCTTATTCTTTCAGAATTGCTCAGAGGTTATCTTTGCTCCTCACTCAGTAGGGAGACTGGGTTTCCTCTGAGTCCTTCTGGTGTCCCTGGCTCCACTATTCCATAGGCTCCATGGGATAGGAGCAAGATCTAAGTAATTTTACCCAATGGTGTAGAAATCCAGTAGGCAACTGATGAGTTTACAGAATGAATAAAGCCTTTTGTAACTGACCACCATTTCTTTTAAATCTTTAAGCTAGTAAGTATTGGAGCATTTATTAGCTTAGCCGATCTTCTGCAAAACATTGTCAAGAAGTTGCCCTTGGGGGGAGAGTCGGCTCAGTGGTTAATACTGGATGCTCTTCCGGAGGGCCTGGGCTCACTTCCCAGCACCTACACAGTGGCTCACCAGTGTCTGTGACTCCAGTCCCAGGGCCTCCTCAGGCACTGCAAGCACAGGCATGCATGTAGACGAGACACCCCCACACATCAAATAAAGAAATAATCAAATCTTTTTAAAGCGTAGCTCGCCTTAAGTAAAACCTCTGATAAGTCAGGAAGGGACTGTGTGAACTGAGGAATTCGTCATTCCGGTTGCTCCTCAGCCATACACTGAAGATTAGGCTTCTCCACGTGGAGGCAACAACTGAAGGAAAACTACAGTTTATGGTTGGGCTGGGGGGTGGGGGGTAGTGCTAGTTTTTTCCTGGCCACAAGATGGGGCATTTGTTCTTTTTGATAGTTAAGAGGCTTTAGATGACACAACTAAGAAAATATTTAAAGGGATAATACATTGCATAAATCTGCAAGAATGGTTACACATAGGAAATTATCAAACAACTTTGCAAAATCTTAATGCCTCTTTCTCTTCCCTCCTTGGAAGTTGATCTTCTACTGAAGTCTACAAGTGTTAAAAGTCCTTGTTTTTACAGTGATTTACCTATAATCTGAGCACTCAGAGGCAGGAAAACAGAACTTGAACCAGACTGAACTACAGAGGGAGACCCTATCTGCAACGCCCCCCCCCCACCCCTCCCTCCCCAAGAAAAGCAGCTCCCCATAGTTAATTGCAGACATCTCATCCTATTAACACTGTGAAAGGGTTTGGCTTTTAAGCCTTCCTCTTCCTGCCCTGTGCCTGCTTCTGTTGTGCTCTGATATACAATTCCTGTAGACGAATGTTCCCAATACTCCCCTCCATTTCCAAGTTCACTCCACAACATGGGTTATGCCACAGATGAGTAACAGCTATTGATTGGTCCCAGTGCTCTTTTTGTTATTACTCATGATGTCAGACATTATATTCTTCTCTGTCGTCAGCCCCTTAATTCTTTCTTTCCAAACCTTTCTCTTACCCAGGAGAGATTATTTCATTAAGGTAAGAGCTGATTCATCCACAGCTATTAATGGAAAGTTCCTTGATATGAGAATCACTTGCTAAAGGAAGAAGGGGGAGGGGCTGAATGAACAAATGGACTCGCAAACATCAGCCCGGAGCCCCCTGAGCCTACCTTGTAGCTGTAGTGTGCGGAGTAATTGACCCACTTCCTGACGCCAGGCTTGTCTTCCACAGAGATGGATCTCACAGCTGCTTTGGAGGCAGAAGTCGTGGGCATGCTGAACTCGACGTTTACGTAATTGGCAAATCTGGAAGGCACTTCCCGGTCAGAGCCAAGTTCGAGGTGGCAAAAGAAACAGTGTGGGTGACCGGAAGCTAGAACAGAAAGAAAGAATGCAGAGGTCAAGGTCTTCGAGGATGAAATTAAAAAGAAAAAGAAGCCAAAGAACCACTTTGGTAACCCGGGCAGCCTGCAGGCTGTGCACCTGGCACGTTTGGTGCGTCCAATGCTGAGAATGAGGGCTTCCGTAGGCAGACATCAGGCTCCGTGTGCCTGAGACTCTCGGATCCAATGCCTCTTGATTTCTGCAGCCTGGAATACTAGCATAAAAGCCACTGTTGGAGGCGGGCCAGAGAGATGGCTCAGAGGTTAAGAGGACCCAGGTTCAATTCTCAGCACCCACATAGCAGTTCAAAACTGTATGTAACTCCAGTTCCAGGGGGGTGTGACACCCCCACCCAGACATACATGCAGGCAAAACACCAACACACACAAAACAAACAAACAAACAAATATCAAAGTGATTAAACATCATTTATAAACAAAAATCAAACCCCACAGTCTGAGAAACTGGGGCCTTTATGCTTGTTTCGGGCAGAGCCATGCAGACACAGCAGGGGCACTAAGGCAGAGGGGTCTAAGAGTGGAAAGAATGAAGAAATGAGATTAGCACTTGACACCTAATAAAACATCAGTGACAGCCAAGCCGCTTTCCTCTACAAGATGAATCTTCTTAATAGCATTTTGTATTTTCAGAGATGCCTCAGGCCTGTTTCTGGGTGGGTGATACATGAAAGTGACAGACTTAGAGAAACGCATGAAATCGGGGAACACAGTGCTACGGACAGACGATCTGATCTGTAGTCGTAATGCCTTAGTTGACTTGCGGTTCCCCCCGAAGTGGAAAGGCCTTTGTTCTCTTCTGCCCTGAATTCCCCATCTGGAAAGTGGTTAGGAGGCGTATGAACAGGTAGGCCGTACAATAAATACAGACTTAAATAGCAGTGGGGTGCTATGGAGGTTAACTCTATCTACGGGCCAACTGTTCTTACAGGTAAAATGAGTTAGATTTGAGGGGGGAAAGAGAGTTTAGTTCTGCAACTATGACATTCGCGCATCACCGTCCTTCATCAGACACAGTGGGACATGACTGGGTGCTCTGTGCCTGGTATGATGCTAGGCGGTCCACACAGACTCTGTTGCTGAGCCTCACCACAAACCCTCAAAGTAGCAGCCCTCAACCTGTGGGTCTCAACCCCTTTGGGGTCACCATCAGATACCCTGCATCTCACATATTTACGTTACGATTTGTAACAGTACAGTTTTGACGTAGGAATAAAATAATTTTATGGTTGCAGGGCAGGGGGGGGAGGGGAGAGGGAAGGGTTGCACCACAACATGAGGAACTGTATTGTATTAAATGGTTGCAGCGTTAGGAAGGTTGACAACCACTGCCTTAAGGCCACTGAGGTTTCTGGAGGCAAAGCAAGCTGCCACAGACTACAGCTAGAAACTGTCTATGACTGTGGGCTGTCACTTCTTTGTCTGAGTCGTGAGTTCATGGTCCCCAAACACGGAGGCCAGATTGTGGGACAACAGTGTGGAGATGGAGAGCGGCGACAGATGGGCAGAGTGACATGGCTCCGACTGATTGTGCTTCTCCAACTAAGCAGCTCCAATTTTCTTTATTGCTCGTGGATGGGATCTTTCAATCCCGGAGAGTCAGGAGACACACACCCTCTCTCCAAGGAGAATGTTACAGACTGAAGTACTTGTTTTTCTCTAGTTCACAAATGCAGAACGCTTTAATGGTTATTTATAAAGAGTAAGGCTAGGAAATGGAACTGAAAAATTTGCACTGGCTTCTGGGAAAGGAATTGACATAAGATACATAGACTAATAAGAAAACATGATGGTATCTGAAAATGAAGCTGTTCAATCTAGCGCCGTGTGCCACAGACTAATTATAGGGCCATCATTTATCAGCACTATTAACACGCTGCTTCACACTTAAAAGCACCATCCAATCTCAATCTGAATGAGCTAGCTATTAATAATCCTACTTCATAGATGAGAAAAATTAGATTTCTCCAAAGGGGTTAAGTAAATTGCCCCAGGTCACACTGCCATTAAGCAGCAGAGTTGACAATAAAGATCAGATCTCACTGAATTCTAAATACTTGGGATACTGCTATGGAATTTGCTCACTACAGTGCACAAAGCCTCTTAACTCCAATAGGAATTGAACACTTGTTTTGATCTAATTAGCTTTAACTGACATTGCTGGAATACTGAGAACTCATTCCTCTTTTTAAAAGATGACTCCCTTGCAGATTGTCTCTAAACGTATTCATTCACAGGAAACTCTGCAAGCCACATCTTGTCCTGGATTCCTAGTCTCAACTCACTTTGTAGACAGGCTGGCCTCGAACTCACAGGGGTATAAAGGTGGTGGATAGGTGGGGCAAAACAGTTTGAGAGCTGGTATAGTTTAATTCATGATAACACAAATAGTAAGTCTCTCTCTATATATGTTAACTTGTCTTTCTTGATGAAATTTAGCATTAAAATTCAGATTGACTTTTTCTTTTATGTGTTTTCTCTTTACCTAGAGCAATAAGAACCAGAATCCCAGAAAAAATAAGTTACTTATGCAGGACCGAATGTTTCATCTCTTAATGTGTTCTGCAGACTATGCGTGTCCCCATGTAGGACCAGGGGACAGTGTATACGGAGGGACTAGTCTGTTGTGCCTTTGATGGGATCCAGACTCTTTCACGATAATGAAAAAACAATCTGTAAAAAGCAATTTACTAGCCAGGTAATGATGATGCATACCTTTAATCCTAGCATTTGGGAGGCATAGGTTAGCAGATTTCTGTGAGTTCAAGGCCAGCCTGGTCTACAAAGTGAGTTCCAGGACAGCCAGAGCTATATAGAAACCCTGTCTTGAAAATAAACCAAACACCACCCGCCCCCCAAAATGGCATTTTACCAAGAGTAAGACCTATACAACCAACTCAGAAAATGGATTGTAATCTATAGTTCATCACCAGCTCTTTGGTTTGTGAATAGGAAGGAGAAGCTGGGCAAGGATTGCCAGCTGTACTGTTTAGTTTTATGACAACTTGACACAAGCTAGAGTCACCAGAGAGGAAGGAGCCTCAATTGGGAAGATGCCTCTATAAGACTGGACTGTGGGCAAGCCTATAGGGCATATTCTTAATTAGTGATTGATGGGGAAGGACCCTGCCCATTGTGGATGATGCCATTCCTAGGATAGTGGTCCTGGGCTCTATGAGAAAGTAGGCTGAGTAAGCCATGAGGAGCAAGCCAGTAAGCAGCACACTTCATGGTCTCTGCATCTTGATTGCTCTGGTCACCTGTCAACTTGAGCCAAGTGGTCCAAGGACCAAAAATGATGATAAAAAATTGCCTCCGTGGCTATACCGAGGAGACAACTATTGGTTTCTGTGACTAGCGCTGCTCCAGAGCTCTCTTTTCTGATGTGTGGTGTTTAACCTTCCCTTAGTTCAACAACCTGCTTGAAGACCCGCCCCCTCCCTTCCATTTAAGGTCAGCCCTTGTTGCATATAACTAAAATCCATCACACAGTACTTGCAAATATTTCAAGTCACTTTGAGATTATCTGTATACCTTGGGAAACTACAAATCTTGTTCCCATGGTGGAGATTATTTGAGGGATGCATCTACTTGGCTTTATTGATGAAGGAGACCTGTGGTACTGAGAAGAGACCCCTGTCTGTGTTTTTGTGACTTCAGGATGAGTAACGCCATCTCTTAGATTTTACTCTTTCATCTAAGATCCCAGTTTGGAAGCCTGGTACTTGTGCCAAAGGAGAACTCAGGGCTTCTTGTTTCCACTGTTGGGTGAGGTGGGCCCTGATGGTTGGTCGGCCAAGGCAGCCGGCACAGGAGCACCAGGAGAACACAGTACTGAGCAATGGGTAGGCAAGCTCAGTGAGGAAGCCTGCTTTAAAAACCCTGTCAGTGTGGAAGCACAGAGATCTGATTGTCTCTTTGGCTCGCACTGCTACACCCAGTGTCAGACACAGAGTGCCCGGTGTTTGCCTACTCCCCGGGCAGCCTGAGAGTTGATTAGACTGCATGGCCTCTTGCTATCTCATCAAATTCCATTTGAGATATGATAATGTAGCCATTCCACACTTGTAGCAGAACACCCCGAACACAGTGTAATAATTCAGCAGTGGTAATACAAGCAAGCATGGGCATGGCGTTTCAACCAGGATTTCAAGTCAGTGGTTCTTTTTTTCCTTCTTCCTTTCGCCTGACTAGCTAATCCGCTTTTCCTTAACAGATGGGCACAGTATGTTACAGACAAGACAAGTGGCTTAAAGGCTTGTGGGACCACAGGCTCTTCGCAGGTCACTGAGGTCACGTAGACACAATCCAGAAAATAAACCATGATAGCTGGTTATTGCTGTCCTGTTTTGTCACTCCTAAAGTCTTGCTAGTGAGCGCCTTCTGGACTCCCTCAGACACGGCAGCACAGTCGCCAGCTGTGGGCAGGACAGTTAGTCTGGGAAGTTTGCTTGTTTAAACCAAACACTTCTTTCTCTGCTTTTTGTCTGGTGGAACTCTGGCCCTTTGGACCTTGATACCCTGGATGTTTAGTCTCTTTTCCACCAAGAGTCCCAAACCCAACCCTGGGTCTGGAGATACTATGACTGACAGTAGCTAACTGCAGAGGCTCACTTCTCGCATACACGTGTGTGTGATTGGATAGGAACTGGCTCTTTCACCTTCGTGAAGGAGATAACGTTTCCTCTTCAGAACCCACACTCGTTCATCTGGGAATGAACTGCTTCTAGCTAACACGGCTAACACTTAACGAGTTCCAGAAGAACAGAACTTGAAGGTGCTGGAGAGATGGCTCGATGAGTAACGCGTTAATAGAAGTCCTGCATTTGATCCCGGGAACTAATGTAAAAGAGTGAGGTGTGGTGGTGCCGGCATAGGATCCCAAAGCTGGCGGTGGGCTGGAGGGATGCCTCAGAGCTTAAGAGCACTGGCTGTTCTTGCAGAGGACCTGGGTTCTATTCCCGCTACCCACAAGGTGAGTTACAATCCACCGGATCTCCAGTTCTGTGGGGTCTGAAACACTCTTCCTACTTCTGTGAACACACGGTGCACAGATGCGCATGCAGCCCAAACAGCCACACACAAAGTAGTCAAAGAACTAAAACGACAACAAAACAAACCACAACTGGGGAAACAAAGATAGATGGGTCACTAGGGCTCACGGACCAGCCAATTAAATTCCAGGTCAGTGAGAGACCCTTTCTCACAAACAAGGTGGCTAGTACCCTAGCAGTGACATCTGATGACGTTTTCTGGCCTCTACACATGCGTGCGTTCACATACACGTGCCTTTGCACACACACACTCATGCATATGCGCACCCACAATTCAGAATTGGCCCTGGAGAGCTGCTCAGCTGAGTCGTATAATACATTTTATGGGAGATGAGGAATGGTAAGTTGGGGAACAGCTGACACACACATATGAGGTCACTGTGGTTGTTACTACATGCAGATTTTCTAGTCTCCTATTCTCCTTTCCCTGATGCCACCATTTCCATCACACGACATAATGAAATGCTGCCCAGGCATAGATAAGACTGACCCCTGCTCTTAAGCAGCCTTAGGGGTTGTCTTCCAGGGAATCCCTACCTACCTGAGTTCTTGTCAGGCAGCCGGTTTATCCTCCACACAATGGCGTTGAAGGCATGCTCATACTTGGCAGTTCCCAGAGTTACTCTCATGACAGGCTCAGAGCCAGAGACACCAGCCGAGCCAAAACTTGCCCCCCGGTTCACTTTGGCTTTCAAAGACTTCTCCCCAAGAACACTTTCCCTGCGGAAATTTTTCACCCACTCACTGGGCACCGGGTAGCGAACCATCACATTCTCACAGGGAACCTGAGTGAGAGGGTCCCGGTTAGAAGAGAAGCCAGGAGACATCCTCAGCCAACTCTGTACCTCTACCTCTGCCCCATTGATGCTCGCCGCCGTCCTGAGTGTGAAGGGCAAGGTCTTCTCAGCAAACACTGTCCTAAACCTCATTAGCTCAAACCGGCACGCGTCCAAAGGGTTGAACAGAATAACCCGGGAACTGTTAAACACGTCCTCATCCACGCACCCGTGGAAACGGCACTCGTGGAGCTTGACCCATTTTGTGGTGGTGGTGGGCATGATGTCCTGACGAGAAACGATTTCGTTGCCTTTGATAAGGATGTCGTTGAGGCCCAGGCGGCACTCGGCGAGCCCAGAGAGGAAACTCAGGATGTGGATTCGCGTCAAGACGCGGTGCTGCAGGATCTGGTTGTCTCCTTTGCTTACCGTGCCAGAGAATTCGTCTCTCACATCCACCGTGATCTCCTCTTCGAGGTAGTTTAAGCCAACCGTGCTCAAGTCCATGGACAGCACGGGTAAATCCATGAGACAGTCCTGAACCGCACGGATGAAACTCAGGAAGTCATCGTAGTTGGTGGTGCCCAGTTTAATCACCTGCTCCCTCTCTGCTGTGTGGGCCACGGCCGGTTTGGGCTGGTATTTCTTCTTCTCCTTGTAAGTCACGCGGTCTATCCTTAGGCTGTGGATCCTCCCATTCTCATCAAAGTTTTGGAGCCGGGGTTCTGAAACCTCGTGGCAGATCTCCAGCTTGAACTCACGGAAAGGTTTTTCTAGGCCCTGCTCGTAATACAGCTGAAGGTAACCGCTGTCTGTCAGTTTGACGTAGATTGGCCCCCAGTGCCTAGAGGACATGATGTTTTTCTTCTCGGGGATTCTCAGCATCATTGGCCATCCATCCCTGGGCTGAGACAGAGCTGAGGCGGGAGAGTGAGCATCTAGTTCAACCCAGGCTATGGGGTCATCATCAGGCAGGGTGGTACTGCCAACACGATCAGGATCGTCAATTTGGAGTTGTTTGAGCTTTTCAATAGCATCAGGGTGGGGCTGGCTTTTGCCTGAATCATCAAAACTGATGGCGTCCTGGTAAATGACGATGAGAGAATCTCTTTGGCTTTTGCCTGTGGTGCTGGAAACTGAACTGTTTTGGGAGCGCCGCTCCTGCTCTTCAAAGAAAGCACTGAACGGGTTGATAGGGGAGGGCTGTACATCCTGGAGGGTCTCATTCAGGAAAGGATTGGTGGCCCTCCAGGGCGGTGCCTCGATTACAGAAGGTGGGCGGTTCAAGGGGGAGATGTCCAGCTTCTGAACTTTGGAGAAGTTCATCAATGTGCTCTTGGGACGGTCCCTCTTAAATGACCCAGTCGAGTTGTAAGGTACGTCTGGGACGGCAGTTGTAACAGGGGGCATGTTGGAAGGCTTCAAGGGAGAGGTGACTGGTGGTGGCAAAGAGCAGCTGACTTCATTGTCATCGAAAGTGACCCAGCTGGGGAAACGAGCAGTGGTCACTGGTGGAGCAGCGGGGTGCCCATTCATGGCTGGACTGCCAGCCCGCCAACTGATAGCCTCCGTCTCTACTTCTTCATCTTCCTGGAGGGAGGAGGAATTGTCTGAAAGGAAAAGGAAAAGACCCGAATGAGGAGCTGCCACGCAGGACCTTAAAGGAAACTGAAGCAAGGGGGCGGCAAAGGTTACTAGAATGTTCTCTAGAACCCAGAGAATCCCCAAGCAGCTTATTACGTGTCTCAAGTGCATAAAGCGAATACTCAGAGCGCAAGTCTCATGATCTTGCAGTGGCATGTGGGAGGTGCTGCCACATTAAATGCAGTAAGAATGTGACGGCTTTGTCAGAGCAGATGCGCTAATGAGTGTAACAGATGTTTTCTGCACTTGGTTCTGAGTGTGGTACTAATTTATAAACATTGAAATGACTCTCCTATGTAAAGTGATACAAACTGATGTTTTAAAAACAAACTATATTCTGTCAGTCTTAATGACAGTGCATAGCCTTAAAATAATTATGGCACAAATATGATCAATAAGAGTGAATGACAAAATGTGAGCACCCTCAATGTGCATGTAATAAATTCATACTGGTGAACAATTTGGTCACTGGCCAGAACACGGTCCAAAAAATGGACTTCCATGAGGGGGATTCTTAGTGCTTGTGAGAAAGCTTCAAGAATACAAGACAAGAATCTTGTGACTTCAGTTTCTCTAAAAATGTGGAGTTGTTCTTGGACTGTGTTTCCAGGTGGATAAAGGAGCGAGTTTATTTCAGCTGTTGTCAATTCATATTGCCTCTATGAAAGACAATGTTTTCTCTATGTGTGGCTTGTCCTTGTGACGGCACACGCCTTGACCTCACGAGGACTTTACTCATTTGACCAGGCTTAATCCTCAGAGCATAATTGTCTGATGCTCTGAATAAAGTTGGTTATTGCATGAGACTTTAGTCTGCTTCAGTTTTAGGTTCCAGTCTCCCAGGTTCCACTGCCTTTAGAGCGGTAAACAGGCGACTGTTAAGAAATTTAAGTGTAAAGTGGAATAATTCCTAACCATGCCAATGTTTGCAAGTTTGTAGTAATCCAAGGAAATGATCATAGGATAATCTCTCTCTTTTTTCTCTAAAATTTCCATCTCCAGGTCTATGTTCTTTATAGTTTAAAAGGTTATTACAAATAAAATTCTGCCCTAACAGGGCCTTCAAGGAAGGAAATAACAGATTTGGGTTTTAATAAGCCAATGGTCCAAACTTGCTGTGTAGCATACGTCCCTAAGTGTATGAGGAAGCTGTGGGGAAGGGACCACAGGCTTTTAGCAGGAATGGATTTAGATGCATAACAGATACAACACATCAGGCACATAGTAGATACTCAGAGGTTTACTGCCTGGACGAGGAAGAAGTTTTGGGCATGGCACAGATCAACGTTTCTGTGTGTGTGTGTGCGTGTATGTGAGTGTGTGTGTGAGTGAGTGATGCCACTCACTCTGGGTCAACTGGAAAGACACTTGAGTTTTATGACTGTCTCACTAATCCTTCATGCATTTCACATAAAACTACACTGAACACCAACGCTACACACAATTGCACACGTAATTACACATGGACGGGGTGGCTGACTTGTTATCCATTCTGCCAAGAAATCCATTCAAACAGATGGCAATTTCCTTAATTAAAAGGATCATTTTGAAAGCCAGGCATGGTGACATACACCTGGAACTGCAGTACTCTGGAGACTGAGGCAGGAGGAGTGACATAAATTTGAGGTTTGCCTTGGCTATAAAGAATCAGACCAGCCAGGCTTACACAGCAAAGTTTTGTCTCAAAGGGGAGAATAAAAAAGGATGTTTGGAGGACAAAGAAGGTCTCAGTGACATGTTTGCTTTGTAAGCTCAAGGATCTGACTTCAAATCCCAGGACTTACACCAAAACTGTAGGGAAATTCTTGATAGACAACAGTATAACAACTCTAACACACACACACACACACACACACACACACACACACACACCATACACACTCCCATTTTGAAAAGACAGATAAACAGTCTGAATACATACCTATCTAGAGCCACCCCAGAATACAATGAGCAAAAAGAGCTCTCTGTATTTGTAGCCTTGCAGAAATGAGTCTTAAGATGTGCTTTCTTAGATGCAGAATTGATTTATTTCTTATTTACTGAAGGAAAAAGGAAAGTGGGAAGAAAACAACCTAAGCTTATAGTATTTATACCTTATACATTTATTAAACATTATTGTGTTTGTACCGAAAGCTAAGGAGAACATTGTGGTCCATGTAAAATACAGTGAGCAGTCACACAGTTCATGGAATCTCAATGCAGTGGCTCCCTGTAATACAGTGCCTCCACCCATACAGTCCCTTGCTGGCCATTGCTGTTCCCAGTGACATCCTTCTGCCTTGAACTCATCCTCACTCACTGGCTTAAGACAAGCTGAGCCCTGTCCCTTTGGAGGGTGGCTTTCTGCCAAAGCTGTTTATACTCTTGCCAAGGGATTCCCTTCTGTTGGAAACCTTGTCCACAAAATAGGCCCCTTCATCTTCTCTTGAGACAAAAATTTTTTAAAAAAATTTTAAAAAAGGAAGAAAGGGCTGTCTCTAGTAAAGATCATTTTCTTAGAATAAATTCCTTTCAAAACCAAGTTATTTAAAGTTCTAGACATTAGAACTATATCCACAGCCATCAAAACACACACACACACACACACACACACACACACACACACACACACACACACTTTCCTTTTAAAAGTCACTCAAGAATTCTTGAATGCATTTACCTGAGAACATAACCAGCTTATCACAATGTACAGAGGGGATGTTTATCATAGCAATGTTTAGATCACTGAAAAGCTCAGTGGCCACAGTCTAGTCAAATCAGTGAGCTCCAGGGTCAGTGCGTGACCTTGTCTCAAAACAACAGGATAGAAGGGGGCTGGAGAGATGATGGCTCAGTGAGGACCCAGGGTAAGTTCCCAGCATCTATATGCCAGTAACACCAGTTTGGGTGGAAGGAGTGAGGGGGGGCAGAGGGACAGGGAGGAGCAAGCACCTGGCCCAAAGTCAATAAATGTTATTGTAATAGGAGATGTATATAATTACTTCAGAAATGTTAAAGAAGGGAAAAAGGAAAGAAAGTATGTTGTAAATTACATTATTATTAATCTAATAAAAGAAAAGCAAAGAGAATGGAAGGAAGGAAAGAGAGATAGGTAAAGATCCTATAAGCCTAAATCTTTCCATAATTATTAAAAATAAACCCTCAAAAGTGATGAGCATTATGAAGTGCACAAATGTCTGCATTTCATATATGCAGACGCCAACACCTACGAGGCCACTGTTAACAAAGAACGACAAGAATCTATGGCATGATGCACTGTTCAGTCACACACACACACACACTTTAGACAAGGCAAAGGCCCCAAGTTTCCATTATCCCCAAGGTACTAGGAGGCTGCAAAGGTGTAAGGACAGTGGTCCAGATGAGAAGTCCCTAAACTAGATGAAGAAACTGCTGCATGACTCCCTGTGGGACGGAAGACATTTCAAAACTTGCATTTTGCTAATTTTCCTTTAGATATCTGCTTCTTTAATGCTGTAAAAGATTAACTAAGACATCTACTAAGCTTGGCACTTCTAGAAAAATGCAGTCTATTTGTCAACAAATTGGATATTAGAAACACATAATGGAGCTTTTGAAGAAACAGGATCAAACATGTGGGGGAAGCTAACTTGGAGCACTAGGCATGCGTGGCTCACATACTTGGCACGGGTTCAAATGGACACATACAGAAAGCGCCTCCTCCCGTCCTTTTGTAAGAGATGGCCATGATAGTCAGAAAAATGGCCTTGGCTGTCAGTCCAGAAGGAAAAGTACTCGTCGCAAATAAGATCTATTATTCCCTTAAATGCCTCTACTTACTTGGGCAATAATTCATTCAGTCAAATGCCTTCATTCCCTGGTGACAAGGCTAACACCCTGTTAGAGCTTTCTCTGATGCCTGGGATCTAACAAAGCTGGCTTCACCATTCCCTTCTTTGCTTCCCATAAGGTCAGAAAACTAGCCCTCCAGTTCTGTGGAAACTATGAAAGTGACCCAAATAAATAGTTGCTATAGTTGCAGCCAGGGTCATGGGTTATGTAACCTGACAGAACACTTGTTTTTTCTTGGCTAGTTACCTAGTGCCTAATGAACACACAGCAATGGCAAGAAGGGGAAACCGATGTGGCTATAGCCCGTGTTGCAACATCACTAGCTTTCCTGCAAGTGTGTTTTGAGTTAAATGTTTACATCTGATGTTCAACAAACAGGCTTCTACTGTTGCTTTCAGTAAAGTCCTACGGTTCCCGAAAGGTCCAGAGAAAGACCACATTAGCATAACGAGCAATGCAGTGAGTGTGTCGGGGGCACCGCTTTGCATGCTCTGCACCTCTCTCCTATTCCTTTGGATTACAGCTTCATAACTGCTCATTAGGACTAGAGAATGCAGAGCAAGGGCCTCCATCCACAAATATAATATATGTATATGACTCCAACAGAGGTTCCTTTGGAAATCTTGAATGACCTTACTCAAAGACATGCAAATGCTCCAGTCTAAGCTAGGACACTGCCTTGAGATGGAGTGTGGTAGCACACACTTGGAACACTGGCTCTTGGAACACATGGAGGGTTCAATTGAGGTAAACTGTGAGAACCCGTCTCATAAAACCAAAGGCAGGGGAGTAGTTCAGTGGTAGAGTGCTTGCTAACCTGCTTGCACAGGAACCTGGATTTAATGCCAAACACCACAAAATAAATAATAAAAATAAAATAACAAACTGACAAGATTCTCGACCATACCTCATATATATGGTCTGCCTCCATGTATGCCTGCACACCAGAAGAGGGCGCCAGATCTCCTTACAGATGGTTGTGAGCCACAGTGTGGTTGCTGGGAATTGAACTCAAGATCCCTGGAATTGCAGCCAGTGCTCTTAACCTCTGAGCCATCTCTCCAGGCCCAGGCTGCTTTCTTATAGAACCCAGAACCACCAGCCCAGAAGCACTCACAACTGGCTGGGCCCTCTCCCATTGATAACTAATTAA